AAGCAAATATCTTGTTCTGAACCCTTTCGGCATCCAGCATGCAGGAAACTACTCCTGTGCTGTCACATCTCCTCAGAATGTCAGCTCAACCACGGAGGCTCTTACAGTCAAACGTAAGCATTGCATTAAACAGTGATTCATAAATTGTTGCCTCAATGGATGTTTTACATGTTGTGGTGGAAGAAAAAGAAGAATGAAGTGGACTGAAGTTTGTGATTTATGAAATAACGCACTCATACAATTTTTGTTGTTGTTGCTATTATGCAAAATGCCGTACTTTTAGCATACTTGTTTCATTGATATTGATATTTATAAGCTATTTATGTAAAACAAGAGAAACCATCTTTAAACAGAGGAGGAGGTCTCAGGTTTCAACTTTCTTAAACTTATAATGCAACTTTAAGACTGATACCCACCTAGTCATTTTCACACAGGTAGGCCTGTCACAATAACAAATTTTGCTGGGCAATTAATTGTCTCAGGAATTATTGTGATACACGATAATACTGTTTGAAATTTAAGATTGGTTATTGGTTAATTTGTGTGTAGTACCATTTTTGCCTTTTTGGACCACTGGATGGCAGTATAAGACCGTTTGAACCGAAGGATGAATAGTGAGGGAGCAAGCAGCATGTATCTTTAAGAAAAATGGGAGGGAGGCCCCTTGACATGACATTCATTCAACCCTTATTTAGACAGTCTCTCATTCCTGTTTTTCGGTTCTCAAAATGGCAGACGTTCTGTGTGGTTTGAGCTCTTTAGCATAGTATTTGTTACACAATAAAAAATCAGTAAACAAGTTCTCAGCTTCTTTTTGCAGAGAAAAACGTTTTACACGAAGGCACGGGTTTCAACCGTGAATTTTGGACGGAGGTTTTTTCCCCAAGGTCGGCCTGTTAGCTTATAGCTTGTAGCTAAGTTTCTCAGCTTGGCTCCTTTTAACGATCCAAAACAGTGATTTAGGACGGTTAAATGGATTTTAAAGAGAAAGGGACGGGTCAGAGCACTGGAGTTGACTTTTGTTGTCCAGCGTCTTCAGTAGAAAGCGAGAGACACAAAGAAACGATAAACCGATAAATGAAAATGAGGTTGATAATTGTCATTTATTATGTGCTTAATTGATTTATTGTTCATTGTGACAGTCCTGCCTATCAGAAATTTCATCCATGTGACCAGAGTGGACCATCTGTGAGTCAGTAGCAAAGACCCTAACAAGCCCATATTTTGAGGAATGATAGGGCAGTCTGTATTAGCTCAGCTTTATAACTCGAACCCTACACTCTCTGTTCTTTGAACTGAGAAAGCTCCTCGGATGAGAAGCGAACGCCTTCTGTTCCAAATAAAGTCCAGTTGTTTTTGTCTTGAACTTTTTTTTTAATTTACCATGTCCTGGATGACTGAGAATCTTCACCAGCTTATCATTGATCCTTCCACAGTGCAACGACAATCCATCATAATAAATAATATAATAAGACTGGTTGTCTTATTACTGATCCTGGTTGTTGGATTCACGCTGTACTCCATGACAAGGTAAAAGAACAATCTAAATTGTGTGCATCTCATGCATGTCCTCTGTTTTAAACTTTCTTGTTTTTAACAACAAAAATCCTAAAGAAGAAAAACTGGGACTGTCAGCGCGGAGCTAAAGGAACAAACTGAGCAGGTAAGTCCATACTGTTACAACTAAATTACAATTAGTACTTTTTTTTGTACATGTAGATTCTTTGTTTCTTTCAGATGGACCCACTGTTTGAGAGAGTCGAGCTTCGATTGAACAATCCCCTAACAGGGAGAGCTCGAGAACAGCAGCAGGAAGATGCTGTATAATATCTGTTGAGGCACTGTATTCCTTATTTGTTGAAATTTATAAATTTTATGAAATTTATGAAAAGAAGTCTGAAGTCATGTTGTTCCCTCCCAACGACACAATCACAAACCACTGCATCGATCTTTCCGCTTTAACCCTGTCAGAAAAACAAAGAGTCACTAATCTGGGCGTGATAATGGACCCTTCCCTAACAATCATGTAAACATGATTGTTAAGTCATGCTTCTTCCAACTGAGGCGGCTGTCTAAACTGAAGCCCATATTGTCCAAAAATAACCTGGAGACAGCAATACATGCATTCATTACATCTAGGCTTGATTACTGCAATTCACTCCTGTTTGGTATCAGTCAGACCTCCATTGCACGACTACAACTGGTCCAGAATGCAGCAGCCCGATTTTTAACCAGTACAGGCAAAAGAGAGCACATTACACCAGTTTTGGCCTCACTGCACTGGTTACCAGTTCCCCTTAGAGTCCAGTTCAAAATACTCATGTATGTCTACAAATCAATAAACAGTGTCGCCCCCCCTATCTCTCTGATCTGCTACAACCGTATGTCCCACCACGCTCCCTGAGGTCAGTGGACCAGTTGCTCCTCACAGTTCCAGGAACTCGTCTTAAGCGCAGAGGTGACAGGGCCTTCTCTGTAGCAGGACCAAGACTCTGGAACGAGTTACCTCTGCTTGTCAGACTGGCCCCCTCCCTCTCGGTTTTCAAGTCCTGTTTAAAAACTCACTACTATTCAATAGCATTCAACACAAGATGATCTGTGTTTTGATCCTGTATGCTCCACACTGGTTTGTCGTCATTATCTGCATCGTTTTTTGTCAATATTCTGATTTACCTCATTTTGTATTTTGCTTTGTGTGTTACCTGTTGTTTTGTCTGTACAACACTTTGGTTGGCTTTATAAATAAAGTGGTATGGTATTCTATGTTCTATCGGCTCTCTACATGTGCACATTTAAAGACTACCACTTGCACACCTTAAGGATAAAGACCACAGCTTGAAAGATCAGATCACAACAGAATAAATGAGGTTTGAACTCACAAAACGTGTTTTTTTGTTGTCAGGTTATTATTTGAAAAATACATTAAAAAAGAAAAAGACAGATTATTTGTTAAAAGACAAAGTTGTTACAATCTTAAGGGGATAGAGATATTTGTCAAACCAAAATTCAGAACTAGTCTGAAGGGAAGGTCTACTTCAATCCAAGGAATTGGATTGTGGAATGGTCTAGAGAGTGATGTGAAAAATACCAAGTCAATGTGTACATTTAAGAAAAAGATCAAAGCTGAATTGTTAAAAAAGTAAATATGAAGTAGCTTAGTGTGTGTTTTGTATTAAAATTAGAAAAATTAGAAACAGTTATTCATTTAGTAGTTCTAGAATTGCGCCGCTCAAGGTGGCTGCATGTTGGAGCAGCTCTGTTACTTTCATTCTGAGATTTTGCTTTTGGAAACTTTAATTCCTCTTTTTCTGGATGTAAATCACATTTTTTTTATGATTGTTTCCTCTGGTATCAGATGCTGTGCAGCTGGAAGGATTTTTACTGAAACTTTTTTGGTTTTGGACATTTGTTATGATGCGTAACCATGGCAACAAGGCAGTTTTCTACAACAACAGCAGCTGATTAACATCTCAAAAGCTCAAATAATATCTCAACTATGGCCCCAACTCTCAAATGAGTTGAAAAGGATGTTCTGTGGACGCATTCTCATCTACCAGCCAGCTGTGCTCGAGTGCCTGATCACTGAGATCCTGGAACTAGCAGGAAACACGGCTCACGACAGCGGATAGACAGGATCGTCCCTCAGCACCTACAGTTGACTGTCCACAGCTATGAGGAGCTGGCAGACTGCTGGGAGGAGTGGCCATCGCTCTGGGAGGAGTTCTGCCCAGCATTCAAGCGGTCCTACAGTCCAGGGGAACCGAGAGGCCAGCCGAGTCTGGGTGGACGGATTGGACGGCATCTGCAGCCAGTTTCTTAGGATCTACTGTGAGATGGACCTTTACAAGAGATCCTTCCTGTCTACAGCCATCAGTATCTATAATATCTCTTAATGAAATGAGGATAACGAGTTACTACAACAAAATAATTTCCCTTTGGGATTAATAAAGTATTATTGAATTGAATTGAATTGAATTGAATTTTGCTCTGTTACTTGAAAATTATTATGATTGAAATGATTGTTTGAAAAAAGGGGCAGATATAATGAGATTTTTTTTCTTCTTTCTGCTGCCTTTCAGTTTAAATCTTTTGTATCTTTCTTTATATTGTTATGGAATTGTTTTGTACCTTTTTTTAAATGAATAAACTTTATACCATACAATTTGTTTTAGCAAAATGTTCTGCAAAAGGGAAAATTTTAAATGGAAATTAAGTGTGCATTTTCAGGCATGCTGAATAGATGTAATATGAGCATCAACTAAAAAAACTCTGCATCAGTATGTAGCATACACATTGACATGCACAAAATGGTTTGGTTTGGTCTTTTGCTCCATTATGTGCAATACAAAGTTGTGAGCAGTTTGATTTTGTTCTCTTGTTATATATGGTTAAAAAGTCTCTAGGTTACTTTCTTAGTTAGTTTCTTTTTTTTTTTTTTTACTGTTTACAGACAATAGGTCTGGGGAAATTATATTACATTGCAGTCTTTTTATACTATTACATTTTATTATATAAAGAATATACGCAACAGGGCCTTGTCGGTCACGTGCTTTCAGGGACTGTCTCGGTGTTGTGCTGAAAAAAGCATCCCTGCACTCAAAAGTGCATTTCCGCTTGCTGTTGCATAATAGCCTAATTAAAACATGTTTTTCAGCAGTTATTTCAAAACTTTTCAAATAAAAACACTTAATATTAGTACTCGTTACAAAATATATTAGATAGTATTGTTAGGAGACCGTTTTTAGGTAGATGTGGGAGATTCGTGGCTAGAATGTTTTGTTAAGCAAGGAGTGATATTTTACATACGCTAAAACAACTCCCAGCAGCATGTATTCATAAAAAACGAACCACATTGTAGGTTTATGTGACCTTAAAGGTACTCAAAACACAAAGCAGTTTGTCTCTTTTGCTTTTTACTCTTACGAGTGAACAAACGCTTTGAAATTACACTTCCGGTGACGTGAGTGCGTTTAACGGCAGGGATACAATTTTCCATACAACACTAGTTTGCGCGACGACAGTCTTACCGTCTGTCCTACTTACAAGTACTCGCTTATTTTCACATTTATTTTCAGAACAGTGCACAAAAGTATCATGGACAATAGAGGCTTTGGTTCCAGTGAGTATACCCATCCTATTTGTAGCATTTGCCTTAATTTTTAAAGAAATTGTAGAACCATGCTGCGTTACAAAGGAAGTAGCAGCCACGTTAGCTCTTAGTGCTAATGCTAACGTGTGGAGGGTTTATTTTATTTATACTTATAAATAACTGCGCTAGGATTAGTCGTCTGTATCTTAAAATAAAGAGTTTGGGTCTAGTTTCCGACCTGTTTTATTTTTTTTTTTGTAATAATCATACAAAGATTTGAGAAGCTAGGCCCGTTGGCTAACACGTTGCATTTCTGGATCTGCTTCCCCTACCGTAGCTTATCTCGTCCATTGTGTGGCTCTTATTGTTAATATTTATAATTTATTTCTGTTAAGGGTGGTTAGAAAAAAAAATGCCTTTCGGTGTTTTGCTCAAGTTGTTTGTTTAAAATACAGCCAGGGTGTTGAAAACGCAAACGTTCAAAGACAGGCTTGGTCGATAAAATGGCCGCCTCAATGCCTCATCATGTCCATCGCTGCATGAACGGCGGATTTAAAGCTGGTGCAAATAACTTGTAGTTTGGGGATTATTAGATTAAGATGAATTTTCAGATTAGAAGTGCAGCTGGATTTAAGGTTTATTCTTTTTTTTGTTCTTACGAAAATCGGTTATCTCCATTTTCTGACAGCGCGGGTTTTTTTTTTTTCAGGTTATTCCAGTTGGGGAGGTGGAGGAGGAGGTGGAGGTGGCAGCAGGGGTAAGAGAAAAAAAAAAAAAACTGGATGTAGCCACTTTGCTACTAATTGACAGCCAAGTGGCTTTACAAAATTGCACACGACCTTGCACTTTAGCTTTATTAAAGCGTAGTGTTGCCACTGACTGTTTATGAGAGATGCACGATATTGGATTTTTGGCCGATATGTTAAAACATATTTGGCCGATACCGATATTTTATATACTTTCCTTTGTCAGAACATAGCCCTCTAATTTAGCCTTATTTGCTGCAACAATTGTGCAACAGCTGTAAGAGCTGGTGACATATATTCAGCAACAGCCATATGATATACATAGCACTTTGACTTTTATTAAACGAAAAGTGTTAAATGTTCTTTATTAGCATTAGTCACCTGTGAGGCCGTCTCACTTGTGGCGGCTTGTTCCTAGCTGCAGTGTGGGATCCTCTGCACTCTTGTGCATGAAGGACAGCCTTTTTAAATTCAAAGTTTTTGTCTGTCTATTGTGCCGTAAGACTAATCATGCTAACAGGGCTAACACGGCGTCCAAATATCTGTGGTAAAACTCACCCAACAAGTCATGCTATCGGCTATTCGCTTCTCAATGATGTCAGAAATGACGGCTTGTTACTTGGGTAACGTTACGTTGGAAAATTGCGGACAATTTAGCGAGGCTCAACGTAGTCCATAAATCTTCGGAATTCGACACAACACCGACATTTTGTATTATCCTCTCCGCCGTGAGGTCAGACACGTGATGTCATCGCGTTGTGCTGCAGGCAAGAACAGCACCTTTTATATCGGCGAGTTATTTTAATGGAATGGCCAATGTCCGATATTGAACTTTAACGCTAATATCGGCGATAGCATGCCGATAATATCATGCATCCCTAGTTTTTTTTTTCAACCAATTTAGTCTAAACTAATTTTTCTCCAGAAGTTATATTCAGAAATTATTTTTTTTTTTACAGTTAACTTTGGAATTGACTATCCCACAAAATAAATAAAATGTGAACCGACTTGCAAATTAAAGTAAAACGCATGGACTTAAAGTGCCTTTTATTTATGATGTAAAAACAAAAATGAAGCTCTTATTTATGTATTTTAAAGATGGAAAAAATCTGGATGTTCAGCATGTTGTATTGAGTAAGAACTGCTGCAGCCAGTAGTGGAAAATCCTGCAGGAATTAGTCACGTTGCTTTGCCTGCCAGAAATACAGAGATAAATAATACTTCTTAAACTATATTAATAGAGATACTCTGCCAAGTGTTCTGTGTATTGTACATCTTTAGACGAACCTGGAGGTTGTGAATGTCTTTTTTTTTCTTTGTCTTTTAAGATTCTGGTGGCTTTGACATGTATGGGGGAGGTTATAAGAACACGATGTCTGGGCTTGGAGGCTATGGAGGAGGAAACCAAATGAAGCGGGGCCTCTCAGCAGGATCTATGCTCTCATCCACAGAAGCGCATGCAGACGCAGTCATTGCCAAGATTAATCAGCGTCTTGACATGCTCTCTCAGATGGAAGGGGGGTTTAAGGGGCTTCGGGGCGACAGGTAATATTATTTCCATTTTTTTAATTGCATTCGCTCGTTCACTTGGATCCAGTCTCACATCCACATTAGAAAACACTTTAAGATGCGTAGCTGTAGTTCTTTTTTTAACAGTGCCCTTGTGTGAGTTGGTTGAAAGCAAGAACATGGTTTCTAAATTTTGCATCGTTTCTGTATTAACCAGCTGAATTTGGTCCACTCAGATTGGAAATAATTTAAAGACTTTTTAGTTTGTATAGTGTCGATGGCATTGTTATGGAAATATATTATTGATTTGCTTCCTGGAACACTATGTCAAGTGTGATAAGTCGTTCTGTTTAGGGCTGGGTGATCTGGACCAAAATTAATATCTTGATATTTTTAAGATAAATCGCGATATGATATCTATATCTCAATATTTTTTCCTTTCCTTAACTAATAACCAAAATATATTTCTGAGTCAAAAGCTTTGTTCCAATTGTCACACAGACACATTTATTAACAAACAACTGTAACCGTACAAAATAAATGTCTAAAAGGTAAACTATTTACATAAATTAAATGATAATCCTCTTCATCTGCGCCGCCTTCGTGACAGTAGTAAACGTGTGTGAATCAGCACGTGAGGTGATGTGTTAGTATCCAGTGGAGGAGGGGCGGCCGTGTGAAGTTGGTGATGCAGACGGGAGAAAACGAACTACCCCTGATTGTCAAGTCTAATTATAACGCAACATAGAAATGTCGATATAGATGATATAGTCCCAGCTTATATCCATCCATTATCTTTTACCCGCTTCTTCCATTTTGGGTCACGTGGGTCGCCAGGGCCCATGTCCAGCAATCACTGCGAGGGGCGGGGTACACCCTGGATGGGTCCCAAGTCCATCACAGGGACGCATAGAGACAAACGAGACAAACAACCATTCACTCTCTCCCATCTTATATCGTGTATGAAATTATCTCAGTATATTGAGATCGCCCAGCCCTAGTTGGCAGACATGGTTATCACCCTTCACATAATTTTTTTTTCTCTCAATTTGTGAGACTATTTAAACAATTTATGTAACTTGGTAAAGCAGAGACCACTCAGAACTGATGCCAGCAGAACGGACAGACAAAAACGGATGTTTTGACTTTCTGTGCAACGGTTCCCTCATTTGCCAAACTGCAGGTGCAAAAAAATTAAGTACCATGAAAACTTTTTTTTGTCATTCATTTCAGAAAGTGAAACTTATCTATTGATTGCATGGATTCATTATACATAGAGTGAAAAATTTTCAAGACTTTATTTCTTGTAATTTGATGATTATGGCTTAAAAATAATGAAAAGCCAAAATTCAATGTCTCAGAAAATTAGAATATTCCACAGCCAGCCTTTGGTTCCTTTGGCAGTGTTGCCAGGAACCAAGTCTTGCTGGAAAATTAAATCAGCATCTCCATTAAGCTAATTAGCAGAAGGAAGCACGAAGTGCTCTTAAAATTTCCTAGATGGCTGCGTTCACTGTGAACAAAAAAAAAAAAAAAAAGTCCACAGTGGACAAACGCCAGCAGATGACATGGCCCCAAGTCATAACTGACTGGAAACTTGACACTAGACTTCAAGCAATGTGGATTCTGTGCCTCTCCACTCCCTCCAGTCTCTGAGAACTTGATTTCCTAATGACATGCAAAATTACTTTCATCTGAAAGTTCAGTTCTTTTTCCTCTTCAGCAGGTAAGACACTTCTGATGATGTCGCTGGTTCAGGAATGGCTCGACTTGAGGATTGTAACATTTGTAGCTTGTTTAGGAGTTGATTAACTGATTAGGGTGCGACATGAGTCTGATATTGAACCTCTTCACAATATTCAAATTTTCTAAGACGCTGAAATCTGGTTCGTCATTATTTGTAAGCCATAATTCTCAAAATTACCAGAAATAAAGGCTTGCAATATATAATTCTGCATAATTAATCTGATTTTCACTTTCTGGCATGAGTGACAGTTATTTTTTTAGATGCATCTGTTCACTTGATCGTTAGTGGGTTTTTTTTTTTTTTTTTTTACGACATCATGGTGAAAAATCTCGTTACGTCTTCGTTTAGAATATTTTACATGTCACTGAAGTACAGAGTTAATTATAGTAATGGCAAACTAAAATTTGAACTGGAGGAATAGAATTTATTTTAGGGTGGTGAAAGTTCATCAGTGAATTGTTTTAGCCTGCCATGGTGCCGGTCTGATGTGTCCCAGCTTTTGTAAAAATGTATACGAGATGAAAAATGTCTGTTCACAGGCCACATCTGAAAAACTCTTTGTTTTGTTGCATTTTATCTCAGATATCTCATTTTATCAGTGATTTGGGAAAAAAAGATAAGAAAAAATCAGAATATTGTTGTTTTCAAACCCCAGGCGCTCTGTAAAGGCGTAGTCTTTTGGCATGGAGGAGCAACCAGCTTTTCATTTATACCAAACACATCTTTCCTTAGAAGCCTGTCTATCTTTCTACTCAAACATTACTTTGTCTTGTTTGTGTTTACACACTTTGTTTCCCCCTCGTCCTCCATGTGACCAAAACTGTTCTGGCTTTAGGTTACACGAGAGAGATGAGTTTACAGGTGCTGGCCTGTTGTTACACCATAAACATGAAATGTTTATTGAAAGATGTCAGGTTTATGTATGAAAAACATCCACACTTATTTAAAATAATGCTTAGTATTTTTTTTTTAATGTAATTCCCTTTATTGTGTTGCGTATAACCAAGTTGCATCCCAAGATGTTTTACTACTTGCACCTGTCTTAAGACGTTGCTGTTTTTGCTGGGCCATGTTCTTGTTCAAGGTTTCCCAGCTTCTCCTTTAACAAGGAATGAATTATTATTTTTAAAATTTGCATTTTTTTTAATCTGCAAAAGTTTCTGTTAAGAAAACGAGTATATTGTAAGACCACAAGTATAACATATTGTTTTAAATCATCAATTTTTGATCCAATGTGTCGTTGACATAAATATTGGAGTGATGAGAAATTTGAGAAAGCAAGGAGATGGAGGAGAAGGAAAAGCAGGCGGAGAAATCCAAAACCTGACTGGCCCCCCTGCCTCTCTTGCTTTCTGCTCTTCTCTATCAACCCTCTTCCTCCCTCCTGCAGGTTTGACCAGTACGAGTCTTTCGACTCGCGCATCTCTGCTCTCTCCTCCCGAGATCTCTACAGATCTGGCGGTGATAGCTATGGTTTTGGGGATGACCGTGGAGACAGCATGCTGCTGAGTCAGCGAGGAGGCTCAGGCTTCGGAGGGGGAATTGGGCTAGGGGGAGGAGGAGGCTTTGATGGCCCTTCCTCATCCTATGGAGTCGCAAAAATGCGACAGAATATGAGGGAGTCCTTCGTCAGTGGCCAAGGAGGAGGTTCTGGAGGTGGAGGATGGGCTGGAGCAGGCCGACGGTCCCCCAGAAGGGGTGGAATTGCTGGGGGCCGAGGAGCTGGAGGAGGGTTTGGAGGCCGCAGGTCTGACCCCACTCCATTAGGTGGCGGTTTGCGGGGAAGTGGTGGCGGTGGCCAGTCTCACCGTGGCCACTCTCCAGGAGGTGGTAGAGGCAAGCTCCCATCCCTCCTGTCCAACCGCGTGTACCCTGAGAGTGATGGCTTCCAGGGTTCTACTCCAGGGCCTCAAGACTTTCCTGGGAGGCATATTGGAGGGGGCCCACGGGGTGGCCGCCAGCGAGGCCGCAAGAGACCCCTCAGCAAAGTAAGTACTTCCAGCCCAACAAAAATTAAAACCTCAGACGCTGGACAAAAGTTATCCCTTTGAGTCCCTCAAATTTGTTCACACATTTGACATAAATAATTGCACTTCAATTCCATCAAGTCCCTGATTGCAGTGTCTCATGGAACTGCTGTTTGTACAGTTAAACAACTGACGTCCCCTTTCTAATGTTTAGTTGTATTTAGCTACAGGGTGTATATATTTTGTCATTTTTACCCTGGTAGTCCTGTGTCTAAAGAAATAAAACTAAAAACATAAAAGTTTTGCTCTGTATAGGGAAAAAAAGATAAACCTTTGTGAGCCTGCTTTTGAACCTGCAGTGCAATATTTTAATACGTGCATTATTCAAGTCGTAGCTTAAAATGAGTTCACACAGACTCATGAACAAATACATTTTTGAACAATGACATGTTTTACATCAGAATACAGTTACAAATAACTTATAAAACAAGAATTTCTGACTCTTTGTCTAATTAAAACTGTTTAAAAAGAAGTTTAGAATTTGGAAAACTGAAGTTTGAGACAATTCTGCGCTGCAGGTTTACAGCTTGAATTACCAGTGTTTGTTTCCTTGTGATTTTGTTTGTCTTCTGAAAAAGTTTTTTTGAGTGCAAATGAGTTTTTTGTTTACTGTAGCAGGTAAAACCTCAGCGTGATGTTCAGAAGAAGAGAAAAACTGATGAACCAGATTCAGCAACAAACAAAACAGAGGGTGAAGGCTCGGAGACTCCACAAGGTACCCTCCGAGTTAAGCAGTGTTAGTGTTATAGAATTTAATTTCCGACAATATTTATATTCTCTTGTTTCTGTGGTTTGTTTTAGAGGAAAAATCTGTGAAAAATGGTGAAAGTAAACCAGAGACTGGAACCGAGGTGAGTGAAATTTTATCAGGATCTTTGTTGCTGGCAGTGTGACCCATCGAGAGATTTTACATAAAGTGAGCTTACGGTGTGTTGTTTTTTTATCTCTTAAAGGATGCAAACCCTCCAGAAGCAGGAGATGATGGTGAGCTTATCTAAAATGGCTTTTCAGTGTATTTATTTTATTTTTTTAGCTCTGTGCAATTTTTAAAGAATATGCCTGAGCTGGATCAGTCTGAATTTAGTTTTTTCTGACTGTTGTTCTTGTGCTGATCAGCTACACCTAAGCAGGATGAGAAGAAGCAGCAGCCTAAAGGAAAACAGACTCAGGCTCAGAGTCAGGAGAAGCAGAAAGCAAGAAAGAGAAGAGGGTTCCTGGAAAGGTTAGAAGAGAAACTACAACTGAAGGAATTTTTATCTATTTGTTTTCTCTTTTACACCACCTTCTTGTTTGGGAATTATAATATTTTCCAACAAATATGCTCTGACATACATTTTTTGTTATCTCTATCTCTATATCTCTCTCTCATCTATCTCTCTCTATATATATATCTATCTATCTCTCTATATATATAAATATATATATTATATAATCTAGCTATATATAGATTCATTATATCATTACATATTCATTTTTGTCGTTACATTATGGAAAATAATGACCTTTATCACAATATGCTAATTTTTTGAGAAGGACCTGTATATATAGATATAGATGTATAGAGATATATATATATATATATAGATGTATAGATATATAGATATATATATAATTGGTTAAATAACATTCGGTAGCCTTTTTTTATTTACTTTATGTCCAGCTTTTTTTTTTTTTTCTCCTCAGGATGATGTTTGCATGTTCTGTGTGCAAGTTCCGTTCGTTCTACAAGGAAGATATGGACATTCATCTTGAAAGCCGCTTTCACAAGGAGCACTTCAAATTCCTGACCAGCCACCTGTCCAAGCCCACCACAGAATTCCTGCAGGTAACTGCATTTCTTTTGTTTGACATGCTCATTGACAGTATGCACTTTTTAAGCACATGTTCACAGAAGTTATTAATGAACAGGTTGACAGATAAGCTCAGGCAGGAGTCCCCATGCACTGATGTTTGCAAACTCGTTGTGATCTGTAGTGAGAGTAGGGTGCTGGTGGAAGAGAGCCTGAAGAGGTGGAAGCAGGAACAGAAATTTGTAGCAAGACGGAACGTGTATGAATGAGGGAGACAAATGCCATAATGAAGATGCAAGGAGTGGAGGTGCTGAAGTCTGTTGACATTGGACGTTTATACAAAGGATGCTGAGGATGAAGGTGCCAGAAAAGAGGAAAATCACTGAGTAGATTCATGGATGTAGTGAAAGAGGATGCAGAAGGCTGGTGTAAAGGGAATAGGATGAGATGAAGGCAGTGGAGATCCATAAAAGGAGCTGCCAAAGAAGTTTTTTTTTTTTTTTTTTACAGTACAGTGGACTCCTTCAATAAGCTTCAAATGTTTGTTTTTGCCAATTGTGAACTTCTGGAAATGTTGCATCTGTATTTTTTTTTTTTATATGCACATTATGAATATATGTCATTAAGAGACATAAGAAATGTAATTGCTTGTTCTGGGTCATACTTTGATCCAATAATGATGCACCTTATATACTAATGTAGTACTTTTGCACTACATAATAAAATGTGTGTTTTTAAATCTTAGCAAAATCTCAAGTAGGCATTTCTTTGTAAAACAGCTTTACAATGTAAAAAAGCACCTGGGAAATATAGTGAAATTCACACTGTCATGCATCCTTAAAATAATCTTAAGATCTTGAATTCATGGATGGATGGATAAAATTAAGGTCTTAAATTCAGTAAAACAATGTTGGTCTTAAATTGGTTTCTCAAAGGTCTTAAAATTTGTCGGGGCAGGGGACATTAAAGTTCTGCTGCTGCAATGGATCTCCATCATCTGTAAAAATGAGGAGGGGAAAACGTGCGTTTAAAGTTGTCCAATCTAATGCAGGAATTAAACTGGTGCTGCTTTCATCCAACAAAGAACCACTGTCCTAGTTTTACACAGTCGGAGCAGGCCAGGTTGTGCTGTCTGATTCACGGGGAGTCCAGAACAAAGAGGGACTGCAGAGACTAAACTCTTACTCTTGTACAGGCGTGCATTTTGCACGTGACCAAACTCTGGGTCCAAGAGTGAGAGCGCTGCTGTTGGAGCACACAGCCCGAGTTTCACGACGAGACGTCTGCGTCTGCTGCTATAATTCTTATAATTAATATTAATGCTAAAAAAAATACATATTTATATGCACTAAATTATAGTTTTAACTTAACTGTTTTAACTTAATCTTTTTCCCCCCCCCCAAACTCAAGACATTCTCTCTGTGACAGTCAGTTTCAGGTGTTTTTAGTTGACATAAATATCAGCTAAATTCACTTCTACGCAGTATGTAGGCTCAATCATCCAGGTAGATGACAAAAAAAGGTTCAATCAAATGTTTTGGGCCATCTGGCCTAAAACATTTGATTGTTATACATGTTGATTGATTGTTTTGGACAGATGGGTCCTTTTGCATGTGTGAAAAGCTGCTTCTGAGATTCCAACAGGAGGTTGGCTTGAAACACAGCAATAAAGGCTACTTATGGGACAGATCTGGTCGTAGGCCACAGACTGATGAAAGGCTTCCGGATGGAAGACAAAACATTTCTTCCTTAAAAAAACTGGTCCAGATGACATGATTTAACATTTTTTTTGTTAGTTCTAGGCAGTGTTTTAGCAACAAGGTGTTGTGGCTGTTTGGATGTGCTAAATCTACTGGTAATTATATTTAGAACCATTCTGACAGGTAACTACTGTGATAAATGTAATTAGATACAGTAAATTAAATAAGTCTCCTTACAACTTCCAACGCTTTATTAGCGAAAACTAAACTGTACGTTTGCTATGGTCATGTTCACAGTGTACCATACTCGTCTTTACCTGAAAACATTTTGTGAAGTGACCTGAATGCAGGAATAAACTTTTAGAATAAAGAATAAAGTCTGTCAGGCAAAAGTTTTACATCGAGTTGTGCGCAGGCTTCTTACCGTTCTGAACTTTAAAAAAAAAAATGTATATATATATATATATATATATATATATATATATATAAAAATTTTTTATTATAATTTTTTTTTTTTATATACAGTCTATGGTTCAAACAGACTGTGACTCAAGGCTTTTAAGGCTACTTCCTATAAATGCATTATAGATATTTACTCGTGTTGGTGCAAATTTATCGTCAGCTGGCTGGACAACTTCTTGTGTATGAAGGCAAAACCGGAGATTAAGACACAATTGAGCCTCATGTCACGATTGCATTCAGTAGATGTGTTGTTGTTGTTGTTGTTGTTGTTGTTGTTGTTGTTGTTGTTGGAGGATGTTTTCAACCAAATAACTGCTTTGTACACACAGCTAATGAAGTGGAGAGCACTGAATATCACTTTATGTCCAACAAACTGATAAAAACTCAACTTTAATGTGTCTCGTTGAATGACTCGCATGCTTTGCTTGGTTGTAATGCAACGTGATCCCTCAACCATTGCCTTTACTGTATTAATTGGTTTTTCTGTCTTAAATTTCATTCAAGGTGGCATTTAAAAGGTCTTGGTCTTAAATTTGTCTTGCTGAAACTTGCAGATTCTCTTTACAAATGTCATTTACAGAGCAAATGTCAAATGGACAAGATTATCTGTTAGAACAAGTTTTGCTAAGTGCCATATCTGCAAAGGTTCAACTAGTTGTAAACCTAAAGCTATTAATTTGAATTTTTTAGGAGTATTTGAAGAACAAAATTAAGAAGACTGCAGAGAGGATCGAACACATGGATAACCACTCTGCTGCCATCTGTCAGGCGTACAGAGACCAAGACCTCACCAGGGGTAAGCAGCAGCTTTATTTGGATTGATTCAGCTAAAACAAGAAATGTTCTCACTCTCTGCAAATTTCTTCCCAAACGTTGCGTAGAGCTCGGCATGGAGCACTTCATGAGGAAGGTGGAGGCGGCTCACTGTTCCGTGTGTGACCTGTTCATTCCCATGCAGCCACACCTGATTCAAAAACACATCAAGTCTCATGACCACAACTACAACAGGAAGGTATGGCACATCACCCTCAAAGTGCTTCACCAAATTTACTCTTCCTAAATGGATATCTGTTACAATTGCATTATTACAATCAACAAGTTATCAGACGCCTGTATGAGCTTTGTCTTAACACCAGCCCTCTTTATGCTTAAATCTGATCTACTTAAAGCAGCATTTTTTATTTTTATTTATTTATTTATTTATTTTTACTAAAGGCAAACATAATTTTTTCTGATTTTTTTTTTTTCCCACACTTTTGTTAGCAGTATTAAGATTTGACATTAAATTTTTGCATATTTTGTGTATATTTTGTTTTTTATGTACCAGATCCAAGTCCTTCACTACCAAATCTCTCTTGGCAGCTATATTTTCACTGTGGCACAATCTCAAGAGACATTTGCATTAAACCTGGTATTTTCTTTTCAAGAGTATAATGGAGCAGTCTAAGTGGGGCAGTCTCTCAGTGGCTCGTAGCATCCTCAATCACAAACTCATCAGCAAGAAGCTGGAGAGCTTCCTCAAGGTACGTGCATATTGATGTGAAGCCTGACATCAACACTGGAAATGGGTTAAATATTGTGCATGTACCGTCTGGTCTATTGTGTTGAAAACAAAAAGGAGCATTGCATATTGTAGGTTGCCAAATTTTGACTGTAGTTCTTTTTTCTGTTCATATTTATATAAGTTTTAAAACTTAAGATCTGAGATTAGAAAGAGGATGGAGAAATTATCCAGTTACAGGGATACTTTTTATGAAATCAAAAGGCATGCTGGTTCATAAATCGGGGTAGACCTTGAGAAAATGTTCAGGTTGTCAAGCAAACAACCTCTTGATATAATCTAGTGGTCCACCAAATTTTGGGGTATCTGCAACCTTTACAATGAAGACAGCAACAACTCTCAACATCATTTTGAATTTAATAAGTATATCGCACTATATACAGTGTTTACTATAAACAAATGTTCTTGTAGACAGTTTTTCTCCCCTCATCCTCTTGTCATCAGACTTCTGCAAGAGAGAGTTACCAGGGCTTTTAGCAGAATATATATTTATTTTTAATCTACACCTAGAGGTTGCCAATCATACCCCACCCCCCAACCCCAATACTACACATCTAAGAGCTTTTCTTGCATACACGTAATTTCTCAAAGATTTTCATATAAGTAGAAGTATACTGTGTACATGATCTTTAATAAAGGTATACAGGCAGTATTTCTTTAACAAAGTTTTAAAGTTGTAAGACCATCAAGACCTGTCATTCTGAAGGAAGAAGAGTTTACAACAACTTGGCACAACCATTGAAGAGTGACCCAACATTCCACAGGTCAAAAATCAACTAGATGTGTTGCACTACGTGAGGCAAATGGTGGTCACACCAGATACGACTGGTTTTCTGACCCCCCCCCCCCCCC